TCTCTCTGCTCCTGGCCAGCCCTGTCTGTTTGGATTTGAGGAGCGTGCCGATTCGGTCCGAAAATCGCTCGCAGTGCTGCCTCTCTGCCACCAGGGGACGCCGGCCCGGTGCCGAGGGGCTGGGGAGCCCGCTGCTGCCGCAGCCCCGGACTTTGGGTGAGGGGGCTGATGAGCGCAGGCCTCGCAGGGACGCGTTTCGGCTGCTTCCACTCCTCGCCCTGACTGATTTGGAGTGTTTCGCCTCTCTCTCCCTGGCCAGAGAGAGAGCGCGCGCGCGAGAGCGCTCCTGCGTTGCGGGACACGTGACGCAAGACGTGGGCCCCCCGGCTGCTCGAGCGCAGGCAGGAGCTGAAACCCTCCCTCCCAGACCCAACTGCCGCTCCTGGGGGCGGGGGGACTGCAGGAGGGCTTCACCGCCCCAGGGTACCCCTGAACCCCTGCATCACCCCCGCTACCCGCAGCGTCAGATTTTGAGCCCCAAGCCCAGAGCGCAAGGCATCTGGGAAGGGGGCGTGGGCGCGCTCGGGGAAGCGACAGGTGGTCGTGAGCCCACCGGGGCGGCCGGAGGCGAGGGGCCTGGTGTGCACAGGCGTTTGCCCTGAAAACGCCTTGGGGTGCTTCTCGCTGCTTCTGCGGCTTGCCTGCCGGCCTGCTGAGCATGGTTCCAGGAAGCACCTCACTGTCCCTTATTCCCACCACCCCCTGGGGGTCTCCCCACTTTATGTGGACGATGATGCCCGGGAATACGAGGGTCTCGGGCGCGAGGCTGGGAGACGTTCCAGGCGAGAGCCGCCGCGGCACGAACGCGGGGTGCGGGATGCACACAGGGACCCCGTGGAGTGCAGGCCTCGCAGTCCGGGGTCTTGCTGCTCTGGGAAGAACTAAAGGGCGCGGTGGCTGAGGTTTCTGTTGGGCTGAGGATGGCCTCCGAGACAGGACTGCCCTGTGTGCACCGAGCCCAAGACCACCCCCGCCCGCACCAGGGGCGCCGGCCGCGCTCACCCCGCGCCGGCCGCCTGCCAGCCTCTCTCCTCCGCTTACGGCGCTCCCCGAGTCGTCGCTTCACTTTGCCAGTGGCGGAGCCCGCTGAGGCGGCACCAAGCGCGGCCCCGACCCAACCTGTGGTGGCCGCGCCGCGCTCCCACTGCCGGAGCGC